ACAACTACATCTACTTTGCCAAAACAATTAAAGTGATTCTCCATGAATTCAACAGCTATAAACAAACCATTGAAACAACATTACATGATACTTGAGCTCTTTCTGGTGCAAATTTGTCATCCTCAAATACCCTTGAAATTTTATTGACAAGACTACTTTTTCCACACCCTTTTGGACCAATCAAAAGGAGTGCTGTTGTTTTCGGAACATCATAATCAGCTGATTTCATGCCACCAACATTCTCAATCCATGCTCCAGGGACATAACTGTTCATGTCAAACAACAAATGTCAATTAAAGGTAATACCAACTCTACCCATCATGAACAACAAATACTGAACTTCAAGCACAATAAAATATTCTGAGCATACTGCCCTACATATTGAATTGTCAGTATATATAAAACCCAATTTTAGCATACCATGCACTAGACCTCCAATTAAACAAAAATGGACAATTGGTTGGCATGTAAACTAAGCATCAAACACCTGGACAAAAAGAGTAAATTTTTGCAAGATGAAATTTGGCATTAAATCATTAAGTAGGAACTATAAGAAGGTTTCAGAAAATCCACATTCCAGAGTTCATGTTATTTCAAATGGTTTGCATTCTGCAAGAAGCATCTGAAATCACAAAGCAAAATAATTCGTATTCCAAATGGATTGTTGGTTAACTAATTATATCACAACCTTGGATGAGAGGGTAAAATCCTTTTGCTTTTGAAATGCAAATAAAAATCTGATATTTCTGCATTTCTACTAGCTTTGAGAGAAGAAAGCCTCAAAAGCGATTATACATTGCAATGTTTGATTTTATTGCTTAGGTACAATCAAACTGAATTCTTCCTGGTCATATGAATTGTTATATCGAGTTCATGCAAACAACTTTGCTTTCTGGCATCAATTAGAAACTAAAAAAAAGTAAAGTTAAAAGCTCAATTTATCCCATAAAGAACAAAATTCTAAAACCTCTAGGGTTTGGACAGATAAGGTTAAAACCACTATTCTTTAGAGAATTCAAATTCTATTTCTTGTCCCAAGCACAGTACCTTTGCACTTGAAAGGAAAAAAAGAAGGCTATTTTCTGAAAGAAAATGAAATTGTGCTAACATGATTACCTCAAAACCTTGCTCTTGACCTCATTAAGGCTCGTACTTCGAACCTGCAATTGATAATAACTGTGCAAGACCTCTTTGTAAACGTTATGTCTCCTCTTGTCATCAGCTTCAAACTCCAGAGAAGCAGAAGAAGAAAATTGAGGAGCCAATTGACCAAATTCTTCATAAAGCAGCCTATCCACTTCCTCTTTTCCATGTTCAACCTTCATTCCTAAATCGTCCCTGGCCCAGTTTCACCAACAAAAGTAAATTGATCCCAACAAAATTATAAAGGTTGAAATCATTTAATCATTTAAAACAGAAAAAAAAAATCAAAACAAAATACCTGACTAAAGTGGGGTTCTGGGAAAACAATGATGGAAGTGGGAAATCTTGGTCAACGGAGGGTTCATCCTCTGCCATGTTCAAATTTTGCAACAAGATCAGATAAAGGGCTGAATAATAAAACATTAAAAAGAAACATGAAGTCAAACCCGAAACAGATAGAGAGAGTGTTTCGATACCAGAAGTGAAGGTAGGAGGAGTGATGGTCTCACCACCCATATCTTGCTCGACTGATTTTCCTTTGCTTTTGAGAGTGAGGTGTGTATTTATGAGTGAAACAGGAAGGAGAAATTAGACCCTTTCCGTGTCTTCCTGCGAAGGTGAAAGAGTTGGGAATGGCAGTGGCACTTAGACCCTTTCCCTTGGTTTTTGCTGGTTTTGACCTTTAGATATAGATCAACATGAAATATGAATTCAAATAAAAGTCTGCAACTATTTCTTAAAACTCGTCATAATAATTTTATCAATAATTAACCATTTCTTTTATAAGTTTGTTATTAATAGCAATTAAGTTTTAGACGAAAAATTCAGATTAATTTCCTTCAGGTCTGTGTTCATATCTTTTTTTTTTGTGTGCCTGAAACTCCCCATTCAATATGATCTGATATTATTCTCTTGGGTGACCAGTGGATCATGGGTTATATACAATAACGCTCCAAACCATTTTAAGACTCGAGTTGAACTCTTAAGTTTGAAATTCCAAGGAATTGGAGTTCTATGCCCCCCCGACATTAGGAAATGAGGATTAACATAATCCCGAAAATGGAATATTGTGAACTGAAACATCAAGTTGGCATTTATCAAATCACCTTGAAAAGGATATTAAGATAATAATACAAATTATCTAATTAGAGTTATAATATAATATTATTATTTAATTAAAGTAAAACAGAGTTTTGATATAATACTATTATCTAGTTAAAGTTAAATTATTAATAAGATTACATATATATATATAAAGAGAGAGAGAGAGAGAGAGAGAGAGAGAGTTGACTCCAAAACAACTTCTTATAAAACGGGATTACCTTCTTTCTATTTTTTCAGGATAATACACATAAAAAATGCTGAGCACATTAAGGTTACAATATGTTATTCTATCTATTGACAAGCTCTTAGCAAACCAAAGTCACACTATACTCATCTCAGGATCTTTATCCCAGGGTCTTCAACAAAACCTGAAGAGGATTCTCAGAGATGGCACAAGCAAAACAAAACCCCGTAACCAGAATCACTTTCAGGCAAGGAAATCAAAGATGAGAATCACTGCAATTCAAGCAGAGTGTTTCACATCAAGACCCCAATTGTGATGAGCAACAGACAGGCTGGGGGGTGACACTGTGTTTTATCTTTCCATATAAGACCAAGGCTTGGAAAGCAAAGTCACAGTTCAATTTGAACTTTAACTTATTTTAATCCAATTACTAAGGACTTATACCCTCTTTCATTTGAAGAACATATTTTTTCTAATGTGAAATTATGTCTCTCATAATTTTCAAAATAATGCAAATTTTTGATAATTTTGAAAATTATAGTTTTATGAAAAAACTAGCAAAGTATTCATTTATGATTAAGAACAGAAATATCTATGTTCATTGGCGTATCAAGCATTGCATGTTGTGCATTTAAGCAAACAGAGTCAGTAATCATACCAGCTAGTGTTGAATTCTGCTTATGAGTACTTGACAAAGAAGAATTATCATTAAAGCTTGTTCCATGCTCATTGATGAGTGTCATAAGTTACTATGCTCGATTCCTAGTGAGTAATAATTCAGACATGGTGTCGACGCTAATATCCTCATTCTGTTTTGGTTGTAAAGTGGCAATAGCACTATTTCCTAATGAAACAGGTCTCCTAGGATTGTGGTTGCCTTGAGTGAATTTAAATTCAGCAGGGAACCTTATCAGCCTGTAACACTTCTCCTTAGTGTGACTAATTTTGCAACAATGGCTACATAATAAATGGACTTTATTCTTTCCTTTCTCATTAACATAACTGACCATTTCAAGGATACAGAGAAAATTTAGTATGGCTCCTGCGTAAGGATGACACACACAAATCGAGACAGGGTCTAAATTTTATATTTGAGAAGAAAAATAAGTCTCACATTGAGTGGCTGTGATTGCAGGTGTAAAGCTTTTTGTGATTCTTCTCTCAAAATCAAGTTACAAGCCTCATCCAGCGTGGAAAAAGCCTGCAACATCACAATCTGTGATCTCAAAGCAACGTAGGTCTCATTAAATCCATTCAAAAACTGAAGACGGTCTTTCTGGCACTAGCCAACATATTCTTGAAGACAGCCTTGACTATATTTACAACACTGACAGGTCTAAAGTTTTTAAGTTCTTAGCATCTAGCTAAGAGAATTTTATGTGATGCTGGGTTCATATAGAAAACTGTTAAGGTGATCGGGGTGAAATAGACTCCAATAGCCATACCACAATTAAATTGTTGCACTTTGTTCATGGCACATAAAGATCATCAGAAACCCTAGGCTCCCTATACCGTCACATCAATGAATCTTGATTTGTTTCCGATTGATAATGCCAACAGAAAAGATCAATTTCAGAAAACATACTGCTTGAGGTGAGTTTGGGGTTTATAACAACGGATTTGTAGCTGCCATTTAAGGGTGACCAGTTCTTGAACTCCAAGCTCACGGCTGGAGACGTTAAGGTTGCAGTGGAGGTGCGTAGCAGGGGAGAGTATGGGTATTTTTCATAGGAAAACGTCAGGGATGCTGTCAAGATGTGGGGGAGGTTGACAAGGAGCCAGGCATGTTCATAAGGGAGAGCTAGAAGCAGTGGAAGGAGTTCCTGCTGACAGCAGACATAAAGGGCAATTTGCTTACTGATCTGGTTGAAGATATGAAAGCCACGGCATAAAAATAAAAAGGTTACTATTCTATTATTGTTGAATATATAAGCTGTGGTCAGAGTTTTTTAATTTTATAAAAAGAAAAACATTAAATAATTATGATATTTTTATTATAACAATTAATAATTTATTTATTAATTTTTATTAAACCATTATAAGTTTTTATTAAGTCACGCACCAGCCTTGGAAAGCTTAAGATGTTGATGCGTTTTCTCCAACCATCTTTTGCGTTAGCAGAAGAATATGCTCTCACCAGAAGAAAAGATAAAAGAGAGAATATTCTTTATTCTATTTGTTTTTTTTTTTCCCTAAAAAATTGCCAAGAACGTAAAAGCATGAATCCGACAGAAAAAATGGCATCAGTCAGCTATTCAACTTTCTCAAACAGACAGCTATGAGCTGTAGAACCAGGTCGGTGCTACAAACTTAATGGCTAAAGCCAACCGGGAAAGGCGCGCCATAGACCAGCAGCTCATGTACCCTGCCGGCCAGCCGGCCAGCCAGAGAGAAGAGGCTTTTCAGGCCTATACTCTTCGACCTAACCACTGCGCCAAAGGCAAAAGACACACTGTCCCGCTTACGTATTCCCACATCATCAACCATTGATTTGACAACCTCTGGAGGAAATTTGTGATTAGCTGACGCTACGAAATATTGACACGTGATAAAAATTCATTACCACTGCTCCGCACCGAAGAAAATGTACATTAACCACGATGGATGTTCCACCACCAGACTGTAAGAGTACACTTTCCTATAATGAAAATTGAAATTGAAATCTGAAAAACTTATAGACCCGGGAGCTTTCCCAGGACACCAATTTTGCCTGGCCAATGCTGGCTGGCAGCTAAATTAGACAACAATAGCAGGCTATGAGAGTGCTAAATGGAACTTTACAATAAACAAATGAAATAAATACAAATGTTTTCTACAACCCCTTATTAGATTAACCAATCAACTCAGTCAGAGGTAATGACCATGCTGGAAGGGGGAGGATGCAGCCAACAATTGACGTTCTAAGAGGTTGGGCTGCAATGATGCGATTGCAAACCCAGCAGATTGCGGAACTCCAATTGGTGGATGCTGAATCGAACTGCAATGCAAAATTTTCCCCCCAAAAAGAGAGGGAATATCGGATGCCATGGCATCAAAAGATCTACTATAATGGAAGTAATGCACAGAAGGGGTGAAAACCGCATAAAAGAAACTTTCTTCTTTTTCTTTTTTATCTAGATGCACACATACATGCCACAAAGTAATAACAGCATATGCAGAACGCAGGCTCAGAAAAACTAGTTTTGGTTTATGTTATTTAAAACAGTAACTAAACCATTATAGTGTTGCAGCCGTAATTTAAGTATAAACTGCTAGACAAGATCACAGAGATTCCTCTATTTAGTGATGAGTAATGGGGAACACCTACTTTAAACAAAAAGGTAAAACTTAAAATATAAAAACTCTAGGGACCATGACAATTGTTCACTTGAAGTATCAATATACCTATGTCTTACTGCTAGTGTCACCACATACACCAGTTCTAGCATGTGCGCTAAAGAAATGAACTCACCTGAATGACAGAGATAGGGAGGATTCAACTGGTGTGTGAATTCCACTTTGATCAGGAGTAAGTAATGACCAAAAAACTGGAAGGACAAGAAGCTAGCCCATTAGAGGCAAACACTAAATAAAGAAGAAAAGGCAAATGGAACAACAGATGAACTGTGTAGCTTCTGGAAAGTTTAACAAGTTAGTACCATTAACTCAAATAAAGAATGTTACCCAGATTAAAGTTCAGAACAAAGACCTATTTCTACCAAATTTCTTTATCAGTGATCACTATTGCCAATTCCCCTTTAACCTAGTCTCCGTTTCTGAAGAGGATATTTCAGGATTGGATGAATTACCTGATTGGTCTGGATGATCTTTCAGCCTAGGGCAAAACAGTATATCCTGCATCATGAAGTTCAGCAGTTAGCTATATTTCAATAATGGTAAACAATCTGATCCACGTAAAAGATATATAATAGCCACAAGCAGCTTTGCTGAGTCTACCACTGCAAAACTCACCTCTTCCATACCTTGAGAGACATTATGTACCACCTCTGCAGGAAATAAATATCAGTCAGATTCATATTAAAAGATAATTGAATCCCTTGACAGAGGCCTGGCAAAATAGAATTTAAAGAATGATACGGTACACAAAAAAGTTCCAGAAAATGGAAATATATCCTTAAAAATCATGTAAGTCAAAGGACATTCCAAAACAATGATGTTTTTATTAAAGATGCCTTGTAGCAAATATCCATTCAGGAAGAATGCTAACATAGTTTTAAATTATAACACCAAAAAGCATATGAAATTTGTAATGAGGAGAACTACATATCTTGCAGAATACTCCTTCCTAAGTGGAAAACAGCAGAAAGGATTTCTAGGTTTATCTGCTTCCATCTCTCCATGAATGTCTAAAATCTCTGCCTCACCAAGTACTTGTGGCAGGCACCAAATCCTGAGTTCTAAGACACCCCTCCACTATTCCCCCATATTCACCCAGAGAATACCAATAAAATATGCCTTCCCATGCCACATATGTATTTATGCAGTGCAGTTACTGAAATTTATGAGGCATCAGTAGCTAATGAAACACTAGACACAGGCTGTACAACAATATTACCCAAGTTTGAAACACTTGGTTTTACTGCAAGTGTCAAGCCCAGAAAGCAGTCATCAGGTTCAGTGTCGAAATCCCATAGATTCAACTCAAGATTTGGCTCCGCCCCTGCAGAATAGTACAAAAAAATATTAATAGATTGAACCAGAAAAAAGAGAAGAGAAAATGTTGTTGATCACTCGCATGGGAACTAGTAGTGAACTTCAAAAACTCACCCATGTTGTTTAGCCTCAACTCAAGTGGATCATGCAGCAGTGGATGAGGAACCCACATATCCACCTGTCGAGGACATCTTAGAAAAATTGATCTAATACAAATAGAAATTTGAGAACAACTCAAGAACACATATTACATTAAAAAAAGGATGCTGCAATGCCTGATCTGCTGTTGGCCTCCTCAATGCGTCCCATGAGCAAAGTTGCTACATACAGTCAAACTAAAGGGTGTAAGGCATTAAAATACAGCAAATGTCAATTTGCTAAATGCTACTCAACCACAATACTGACCATGATTAAATCAACAGCCTCTGAGCTCGCATTGGGAATGATATCTGATAGGTTGGTAGGTAAAATCTGCCCAAAAAAATATAATGAATAAATAAAATAAAAGCAAAGGTCAAAACATAGCAGATAATAGATAACCAATAAATATAAAGAAAAAAAACCTACCTCGGAATAGCTAATATTGATTAGACGAGAGATGTTTGTTGCTTCAGGGAAAGAAGTCCAATCTGGTGCACCCAGAACACAGCATATCTTGTACAGTTGATCTATTTCACTGCCAAGAGATGAAAGTATTACCATAAGAAAAAAAAAAGTTATGCTATACCTTTCTTTTACTTCAGTGGAAAAAGCTATACAACAAAACTGCCATACAACACCGACAAAATTATGTATGAACCAATAGCAAACAAGAATAAAAGTAGTAAATAAGAAACTTGCATGGAAAGTAAAAATATTTATCTTAGGATCAGAGCACTGCCAAGATTATTATGCATAAGGGTAACAATATTCCTTCCTAACATCTATATTTACGCATCCCCATCCTTGCATGCATGCATGCATAATCATGTATATACCCATAACAATAGTATATAAAAACAGCAAAAGACCCTAGATATTTTGTCCATATGCCAAAAATGATCCTAGATAAGCATTGGTAGGTAGAATCAATTTGTTTCAGGTTAAAACTGCCTACAGGACATATGAATATAATGTAGAACAGAAACAGCAATAGAACAGACAACAATCAACAATGTTGCGCTGACTTTTTCTAGGCATGCATTGTTAGGTTATTGGACACATACAATCAATCAAACTGGTAATTTAAGCCATTGAAATGACCAACATTTGCAATCTTCACTAAAAATCCAGCCGAATTACCAGAGTCAAGCATCATAGGACATCCCAGCTTTATAACATGAATCATAAAAATAACTTTATCAAGACCAAAACTTGGAAGCCAATTTCAGGAATATATTGAAGTTAGTATATACTACTATATATATAATACACACTGGGACCCATGGTTATAGAATGTGGACATAGAAGTATTTGCATTGCATGGGTATGTTTATGCCGTGAGAAAAGATATTTGTAACCACAAAAGGATTGCTGTAAGTTAAATCATTTTCCACCAAAATTAAAAAGAGAAAAAGGTGGAATACTATATCACCTTTCACCAGGGAAAATAGGAGATGAAGTGAAAAGCTCTGCTAATATCGCACCAACAGCCCACATATCTGTAAATATTACCATTATAAGGCATCATTCAAGCAAAACAAAACATGGTATAGATAAATCTGAAAGTAACAAATTTACTGGAAAGAAAGAAAAGCTCAATAAATAGAGTTAGCATGGAAAATATGAAATCTCATAAAGGTGAAGTTCTGAATTGGTCCCACAACACCATAAAAGCTACTAGAAGAAGATGTGCATATGCATAGAAACAGACACACATAGACAGAGAGTCAAGTCTTATGCACATACCAATTGCAGGAGTGTAAGAGGAGGACTGCAATAAAACTTCCGGAGCACGGTACCTGACATAAATAACCCACAAATGATAAGATGAGAAAAATTAATCCTGTCCAAACAGGATAGATAATGAACCAATCAATGAGATTGCACCCACACGGTGTGAACATCAACAAGCATAAATCCAAAGCAAATAAGATAACACCACTTCATATTACTTACCACCGTGTGGAAACATATTCTGTATAAGGAGGCATTGATGATACTTCTCTAGCCAGTCCAAAGTCAGCAATTTTGAGAACATCCTTTGTCACCAGCAGGTTCTCTGAAAAAAGCACATACGTTGCTATAGAGATGTCCACAATTCAATGAGCAAAAATGACCATGAAGATGCATATAAAAAATTTGAATTACAGGAAAATTTACCAGGTTTCAAATCTCGATGAAAATATCCATTTCTATGCATGTGAGCAAGTCCTTGCAGCATCTGAGACATGAAGCTCCGTATCTCCCCCTCTGTAAAAGGTCTTTGTCGCTCTCTCATGATTTGGTAAAGATTATATTCCTAAAATGACGTTTAATTCAAGCTCTTACCAAATGAATTGGCAGGGAATTTGTTCAACTTCATGCTTGCTTACAAATAAATCACATATCACACTATTAATTACTTCAATTGAAGACCAAAATAAGCCAGTTTACAATGAATTACCCAGAAGTCTGCAACAAATGTATTATTAATGTCTGAACAAAAGAGGCATTATCACAAGTGAGTAAATCAGCAGGCAAAGGCAGCCATTTTACAATGATTTACCCTTTATCACCAGGAGAAACCAAGATATTTTGTTGAACATGGACATCAAAAATTGGAGGATTTTTTTAAGTGTTGAGGGGAAAGTAATGTGAGTATCAGCACAACTCTTTCACTAATATCAATTATAGCATCCTGTAAAAGTCATCCATAGATAGTTTTGGTGAAAGAAAGGCCCATCTTCCAAATTTTAAACAAGATATTATGGAGTTTTCAAATTCCACATCTACTCTGAACATTTAAACATTGTAATTGGACAGATCCATTTTAGCGTCATGCCTGTTTAGAAAATGATTACAAACTGGAATTTGTAACTAAACATCATGGGAATCCACTAATTTGTTGTGTAAAATCATACAAAAAGAGTAAGTTAGAAACATAAGACATTGACCATTCTTCTTGATGTTCCAAGCTCCAGTTTAATCATAGTCATATTCCTAATATTTATATCAATAAAAAATTATGAAAATAAATTGCAGCATACTATTAAAAACTCAGAGAGTGAAATTACATAGTTAATTGGAAGATAGAATTGTAAAATGTCATGCTTTCACTGATAATAATGTGAATTTTGGAAAAAAAAAAAAAAGGCTCCCTCACCATGTACTCAAAAATGAAGAATAGTTCATTGTTTTCCCTGACAACCTCCTTTAACTTTACAATATTAGGATGGTTTAGCTTACGAAGGGCCTGCAGAGAATAAGTTACTCATACCATCAAGAAAATGCGTGTATGAATGAATGATGTATGATAAATGGAACTTGATTAAGGCTTAGACAAAAAGCAAAGGGCTCTAAATTCAAGGAATTATTATGGCATACCTTAACTTCTCGTAAATTCATGCACTCTTCCCAAAAGTAGAACTTTCTTTTCATTTTCTTTACAGCAACCTAGATTTCAAACATTTACAAAAAGCAACGAGGAACAACAACTCAAGGAAGTTTCAAATTTAGTAAATTTAATATTATTTTGGTCAAACTTAAACATGAGTATATACAGGAAAAACATATCAAGACAACCACTCACAATAGACTGAGATTAGGGTTTTCATCCAAGGTCTTCCTAACGATCACTGTCAGTAGTTCATGAACCCTCATTGACGTGAAACAACACCAGACATCATTTTCCAAAGTAAATCAAGTACATCAAATCTTGAAAGAGTAAGCCACACAGTTATTTTTTATTTAGCTCCTAAGTTTTTCTAACCTTGTATTTTATATATATACATACATATGGTATTCTAATATCTCATGGCCTGCATATATCCAACCCACTTGTAGTCCTGTAAAGTCAAAGTTTCAAGCACAGAGTTTCATTTCATACATTGCATATCCATTAGGCTTCAGAGCTTTAAAGTCTCGTTTTAACTTTTCCTGTAATAAACAGCTCACCAAGCTTGCCAACCCCATCCTCCAAGGAAGGAGCTGGGGGTGGGAAGGCACACATGCCCAGGTGCATACAGAGAGGGATTATCAACTGAGGTTCAGATATTCCAAGGTGAATGGGCAATAAGATATAAATTTTAAAGTAACCACCAAATATTAGCAGCTAGTAGATGAAGGATTGACCAACAAAAATATAGAGTTCACTAACGATTCAATTTCTCAAATTGACTTAAAAACAATCCTATACTCGTCAAAGACACCCCATTTATGTCTGGGGTAACTTAGGAACTTGAATGAATGAAACTCTGCACCACTCATCATTTGCTATCTCCTAGGCATTATGGTAATTTCAATAATCACATAAGACCAAGTACAAATATTCCTGCTCGTCAAAATTAGAAGCAATTTATTTGGATTTTTTCATTATTTTCATGCCATGGTGAAGGAATTTTCCACGTGCAGCAAAGAATATACACATTAATCATAAATAACTTCAACCATAGGTGAGGAAGAAAATGGGCACAAGAACAATATCTTAATGACAAATACAGGAAATGAAAATTATGTAGTTGCTTAAACTGAAAGGTAAGAAGCAACAGGTGGAGTAACTTCCTTACAATCTCAAATGTTTCTACATTGAAGGCTTTGAACACACTACCACAAGTACCATCTCCAAGCTCCTCCAAAATTTTATACCTAAGTGAAAAGAGACAAAATTGCAAGGGATAGTGCCAAAAACATACAAGGCTTCAAATGAAAACTTGAGAAAGCTACCCAGGATAAGAGCAGTGGCAAGAAACTAACCTTTCCATTATTGCAGTTGCAGCAAATTACAATCAACAATTTGTCAATGTACTTCTAACAACCTCCAAATAGAGGTGTCTACTGTATTGACATAGACTTGATCACTAGCTTGCATATACGGTTTAGTGCTAAACTGTAGCATGAAATGTATGATGTTGACAGGAACAGACTTCTCATTGTAAGAATGATTGAATATCAGCCAGAAAATTATCAACATTCTCACATGCAGCTTCTACAAGCTGCGGCCAGCTCGTATCATCTAAAACCAACGAGTCTAAGAGACCTCCAATAGAATTCCAGTCAAAGAGTTGAACTTAGTGGCTTGGTCCATTCTCTTTACACTCAGCTTAAATGATGCCCCATAGATAAAAAACCAGGGTGGGCTGTAAACAATGATTAATAAAAATCAATATAACTCGTAAACACCAACTTATTCATCATAATGTAAAGAAAGAAACTGACCAATACACACACAGCAACACTTAGACTCAGTCTTATAAGGCTTGTATACAAAAAATACAAAACAAATTTAAAGAGATTGTAAGATCGTGGTTTAGACATTGGAAGAAATGCAGACTGAGGACTATGGATCGACTTTTATGTGGTCAGACACACACAAGCCTTAGATTTTCTGTCCTTTCCTGCTTTTTTCCATTAATCAAACAAGGAGTTTCAAAACCAATGAATTCTTTGGATTTCCAAACAACCAGAGTTGCGCAAGAAATATATCAGTGAATTCAATCAGATCTCCCAGATGTGAAGATATTATTACATAGATTTTTAACAGCTTAACCATATAAATTTTTTTTAAAAAAAACACACCTAAAACGATCATAACACAAAAAGAAAAGAGAAAAGGCCGCTAACTTGTTGAGTCAAGTCCCCCATTTTCTAAATAGGAAGCAGATGAACCAAATCCATTTAAATCCAGAAAATAAAATAAATCATAAAGGGGAGGGGGGCTTTCCTTGAATTAAAGAAATATCATTGCAATCAAAAAAATTTTTTAGAGAAAAAGGAAAACAATATGCATTCAAATAGCAACTAAACCAATGTTATGTCTGCTTAGCAAAAAAAATACAATAAAACCATATATTCAAAACTACTTTCAGTTTCCTCACGAAAAAACTCAAAAAGGCACTTTTTTTTTTGTTAATAAAAAAAGGAATATACACATCTTCAACTATCAATTTGTCATCCCACGAACACCACCACTCAGCTATGCCTAATTCCATAACATAGGCCACAGTAGAATTTGAATCAGTCTTCTTTTCTTTGACCACCATTATATAAAAAAAAAAGAAAATTAAAGAAAACTATCAAAAAATTTCGACAATTCTTCCCACTCTCCTTTTTCTAGGGAAACAAACAGATACTAAAACGAAAACTTCAACTACTTTCCAACGTGCAAGAAAAAGAGAGGTAAAAAAAACAAATATCGAAACAACAATTCCGAATATACAAAAATCATATACAAAACTTTTTTCTAAAAAAATAGAAGACCGATAGGGAGAAAGAGAGCTTAAACTCACCTTCCAAAACCAAAGCGTCAAAAACATCTAAGGAAGCAAGAAACAGAAACAGATCGCCAATGTATAAGCGATGTCGTTTAAAACAAGGAAAAGGAAGAGTTTCAGAGAGAACTTTAGAGAGAGAAATTTAGATTACTGGAGAAGCCATAGGAGAGAGAATTCCGCAGAAGAAGCGAAGGAGAAGGAACCAAAGAAAAATAGAATAATAATAAAAAATTAAATATAAAAGGATAATTTTAGTTTTTTTTTTTATGTTTTTTAGATTTTGTTGTTTTGAAAAATTGAAACGAAGAACAATGCTTGGTTGTGGTGGGGAAGGGTGGTGGTCCCCGAGATCATATAATATTATTTTTCACAGAATTACTAGATTATCCCCCAACTACTTAGTATATTACACGATTGCACTTTTTGTGACAAGAGTGCCCCGAAGGGATGGACAAGGAGTGACGTCGACGGTGACATAAATGCTCGCATCTAGTGCGGGACCTAAGCGTCATTGAAGGATCCTCTTATGGGTATTCTCGTCCGTGGAGAATTTTATGTTCGGGTTTGGCGTGTGATTGACACGGATCGGATCAGGCTTATTCCTTTGTCTTCATTCGGGTCTAAATCAAAAATGGGTTTTTCTTGAGGAGTGATCCCATTATCAAGGTAGCATAGGGCATTCATGCTTTTGTGCTTAACAGCTGACACGTTGATGCATGGAACATCTGGAAACTAAGTAGCTATTTGGCCGAGAGTAATTTACCGTTAAGCCAAGCCCAATTCCATTAACATTTAATTATTATTTCTTTTTCTTAAGTTTATTATATCTTATTTTTATTATAAAAATTTACACTTACTATTGGAATTGTTCCGAAAATAAATTTAAATTTTAACAGAACAATTAATGAATTTATATTAATTATAAATAATTTATAAACTAAAATATATTATTAAAATTTATTATTTATGATTACATATAGTATGTACTTTACGACTATTATCTTATTCTTATTTTATCTTATGATAAGTAGTAATTTTATTATTCAAATTCGATTATAAAATATTTTAATTATATTTAATAAGATATAATAATGTAAAGTATTTGATTATAAAATATTCATTGCCATCTTTATATTTGTCCTAACATATGAAAGTGTTTCCATAGTTGAAAAATAAAAGTAATGTGTTTGGTTGGTCAAAATTTTAAGATTATTAACTCATATGAAACTCCTATTTAAGCTTTTAGCGGAAATCATAAATCAAAATTCTTCAAAACAAGTTGTAATGTATAATAACAAATAATTAATAAAATTTATCTATATTTACACGCTACCCTTGAATAATTCATAAAATTATAAAGAAAACTATAGTTTTTTCACATTCAATTTTTTTACTGGGGTCAAATTTGTTTCTTAATTTAATTTAACATATTGTTTTAAATTAATAAAAAATTATTTCATTTTGTTAATTTCTTGCACTCAAAAATAAAATAAAGTTTTTTATTTATTAAAATTAAATAAAAAAGTTAATCAAGTTTTTTAATATCTTAGAGCACTTGTGTATTAAATTTGTCAAACATTATTTAACTCTTTTTTTACCGTACTTTTGGAACAGTCCTACTAACAAAAAAAAAAAACTTGATTAACTATAAATTATTTGTTTTCTGTTATTTATTCACAATTATCGAGTTTGAGTCGAATTTTATTTTTGAGTTTCAACTTTCTACATTTCAAAATTTGAGGTTCTAAAACTATAAATTATTTTATGTGGTGATTATCGACCTCTAAAATTCATTGTTTCATCATAAGTTATATTATATAACAATGCATAATTAAGTATTTGTAAAATTTACAACATTGAAATGTGGCTTTATTCTCTATTAAACCATTACACGAGACTAATTCTATTTATGTTTTTAATTTGAAAGAATATAACAATTATTACTTGTTAAGTCATAGAATTACTTAAAAATTGATCAAAATCCATCAATACAAGACAATTCGTGAGGGACCTTGGACCGCTGTTCACTCATAGTTTAGACTACAAAATTATGAGTCTATAGATACTTATCTTTGCAACTACCCCTGACTGGGTAAAACTAATAGACTACCATCATAACATGGTTTTTTTTTTTTTTTTCTAAAGTGTATTAAAGAAGGCATACATAATTTAGTGTTGATTGCAAGTTGCATTCAACGCACGTTTTTCAGAAACACAGGTGACAGAAAATGTGTTTATTTGAACATTTAAGGAAGGTTACTATCATGAATTGAAATAACTTGCTTAGCTTTCAACGTGAAACAATTCATGGATTTAGCAAAGATTAAACAAAGAAAAAGGAAATCCAATAATCCCTGCAAATATATCTAATCTCATAAGGCTAGATTGGCAAAAGATATTCATGTAAAAAATTAAGGAGGTAATAACTAGACGCCCTATTTGCTTTACCTTCAATCCCAACTATGGGAGCAAAAATATTTCCTACTACAGTCCTAACATCTACACGGGGCTTTTCTTAGGGTATGCTTTGAACATTGTCCGGATTTTATCAGATCTACAAAAGAGAAAACTGTGTTGAGTATGGACTAGATTCACCTGGTAATCCTGTTGTGAGTCTGGTTTATGGTGAGTCAATGACAAGCTGCCCAACAAATTTGGGACTAAACGGTAAATTTATTTCTCCTCTAGCTAGTGTGGGAGATCCTGACTTCACAGTTCAGATAAGCAATGATGCCAAATGAGAAAAATCATGGAGCATAAACTAGATGACTGGCCTCTCTCTGTTAGCCATTTGCTCAATCAGTTTTAGAAGCTCTATGCATTTTTCAGGTTCATCACAATTTACTAGGAACTCAATATGGGGTAATACTGCTTTTGCCTCCCCAATACTATTGTCTTTCATGAGGTCAGAAAAGAGTCTTTGTGCTTCTTTGATCTTTCCTTTGTTACGCATACAGTGGATCACTGAACAATAAGATGCAAAAGATGGAAGGAAACCGTGACTGAGAATGAGATCCAAGACCTCCAGGCACTCATTGCAGTTGCTGTTCTTGGAATGCCAATCAATGACAGAAAAACATGCCTTGTCAGGATATAAACCATCCTTCAGTATATCTTTGGTAAGATGTTCAGCAACAGCAATTCTTCCCACTTTGCATAAACCCACAACTAGAAAATTGTAGAAATCTAAAACAGACCCACTAAATTTCTCGATTTCAGCCTGGAGCTTCAACACATGATCAAGATCCATTTCCTTTAGAACATTTCTGGAAACACATTCATCGCAATTTTCAGCAGCAGGTGGTGAACCAAAATCTAGGGGACTGATAAAACTGGAGCTTCCAGCTTTAGTGGCCTTGTTTGATGAAACAAACCCTGCTAGTAGAGCAGAATAGATATGACAGTTGGGTTCATATCCGTTTTTAACCATGAAAGACGTAATATCAAGGGCATGATTTAACCTACCAGCATTAACATGTGCTTTGACCAATATAGTGTATGTAACGTGATTTGGAGGTACTCCTAAATCAGACATGAGATGCAGGATTCTCTCTGCATCGTCAACTCTTCCAATTTGACACAGGCCATTAACCACGACAGTGTATGTATAGACATTTGGAGGGCAGCCAACCTGTTTCATCAGCTTCAACATGCTCAAAGACTGTTCAACCTTGCCTGCTTGCAAAAGTGCACCTACTAAGATTGTGTAAGTCACAACAGAAGGAACTAAACCATGCTTTAGGATTTTCCCAAAAAATGCATATTCCTCTATTAACTTGCATTCTTTGCTCAGAACATGAAGAAATACATTGAACGCATGACAAGTCTTCAAACAACCATTCACAATCATCATCTTGAAAAGCTTTGATGCATCTCCAGTATTACCAATCTTGCAAAACCCATCCATAAGTGCAGTAAATGTTACTTCATCAGGATTTATTCCCTTCTTTATCATCTTACCCCAGAGCCCATTTGCAAGCTTCAGACTCCCTTGTTTGCAAAGCCCATCAATTATAGCAGTGTAACTATAACCATCAGGATTAACACCAAGTGAGTTCATCAATTCAAATATCTTGGAAGCCATATAAAAATGGCCTTCTTTGCAGAAGCCATCAATCAGAATATTATAAGTTATGCTGTTAGGCAATAAGCCATTATCAACAATCTTTCCCAAAAGGAGCATTGCTTTATATGGTTTGTTAATTTTACACAACCCTTCAATAAGCTCATTATAGGTACGGATATTAGGCTTGCAATTTCTTTTCTCCATCAAACTAAGAAGCTCAAAGGCAGAAACAATCTTACCTTCCTTACAATATCCATTAATCAATGCATTGTACGTTACAATTCCTGGATAAACATCCTCTTTTAACATCTGCCTAAACATCCCATTAGCCTCCTCAATCTTCCCTTCCCTGCATAATCCATCAATCAAAACAGTATAAGTATAAACGTTAGGCTTACATCCTTTCCCACTCATTTCACCAACCAAATCGAAAGCCTTACCAATCAATCCATGATCACACAAGGCCTTGACTAATACAGTGTAAGTCCGAGTACTTGGCTGGCAACCCTTCTCTTTCATCCCTTCTTTCAGAGAAAATGCTTCTTCAACCCTCCCAACCTCACATAAACCATGTATTAAAATCGAGTAAGTAACTGAATTCGCTCCACAACCATCTGGCTTTGACATAACATCAAGCACCCGAAAGGCTTCCTGGAGATCATTTTGTCTACAATAGCCCAACACTAAAGAAGTACTAACATGAGTACCCAATTCAAACCCAAGCTTCAAAGCTTTGGAAATGAACATTTCAGCTTGACACACAAAGCCAATTTTGGATAAAGCATTGATTATTGTTCTATAATCAATAGCACCGAGAACAAACCCTTCAGCTACCATTCTTTTATACACAGAAGATGCTAAAACACCCATATTTAACTTAGCTAAAGACACCAAAAGAATGCTATAACAAGGATAATTTAACCGAAACCCGGTCTTCCTCATCTCGTCAAGCGCTTCCATTAGCTTCAAAAGATCGTTTTCACATTTACTACAATTTTTGATTAGTTCAATTATAGCCTTATGAGCAATTTGAAATGAATGGGAGGATATAAGCAAGTTTAAGAGGTGGATTCTACCAGTTATCGGGTAGCAATACGTGGAGTGTTGACAAACCCATCGGAAAAATTGGAGAGCAAGTGAGACGTTGTCGTTTTGGAGGAGGACAACCTGCGCAGCGACGCTGGGGTTCATGTGGGAAACTAGGGATTTGAAGGTTTGGTTTGTTTTCCAGTTTGGTTGGTTGATTAAAGATGAAGCATGATGAGCCGCATCTTTTGGGGTTACTGCGGAAAAAGAGTAGAGGATGGAGGCAGAGATAAGGGCAGGAAATCCGCAGGGGAGCTTGACTACTAGTCTTTTTGTGAGAAACATGCAGAGAAAGTACAAGGTTCGGAGGAGTTAACTAGAAGGGAAAGTGAAGTACCAGTATGAGAACTGCCATGAACTGCTGAGAGAAACTGGAAAGAGGAGAGTCGGGACATGGGAGAGCGGGCCTTTTGAAGTTCAATTGTAGCCGTTGATAATTGCTTCTAGGCTTGGAACCGGAGCGTTGCCTGCTGCAAAGAGTTGTTAGTATCTTTAATCAGGTGCTACTGCCACTATAATTTTTGAATTAAAATGTTCAAAAATTGGAAATAGTATTTTTTTAAGTGGCCATTCATGTATTTTTTTTTATTTACATGTAAAATCTATGTTGTTATAAATTGGCTCAAAAAAATAATGGTTATAGTACTAAATAACTCCTTAATTTTTTTTATTTTTCCTAAATAAACTTACAATCTTTTTATTGTACCTAAATTAGCCCATATCCTATATCTAAGTTAATTCATATATTGACAGAAATATATCATGTAATCTTAATGGTTATTAAATTTATATCAACTGGCATCTTCTGCACAATGAATATTGATGCAGTAAAATGACTTGAATGAGAAAATTTTTCGTCCAACACATATCATTTCAATCTGTCAGTTTCACCATTAAAAAATATTATAAATATGAAATATATCATAAACTTAATGACTGTTAAAAGTCACGTGCATCACATATTTTTCTTTTATCAATATAAAAACTTACAATGGAAATTTATTTTGATACAATAAAAAATAAGAATTTTGTTAAAAAATTTAAGATAGTTAATATTTTATTCTACAATTTTTAAGAAGTTTTAAATTTTGAAATTTGGTCGTTTTGCAAAATACGAGATATGACAAATGCTTATTGTAAGATGACTCAAGAGGTATGTTAAAAACACACTCTAATATTTTATTTATTAATTACTTCATAATATTTTATTTATATAATATAATTCATATCCCTTCTCATAATTAAAAAAAAAATACAAACCACTTTAGAACCTCCCCTTTGGAGCCTTGTAAAATATTAATTTCTTTTAAAATGGACTTGGCAGAAAAGATTTTCTATTCCATAAATAAAAGGAATCTTTGTCCTTTTGCTAGAACCAAAATGGTATCCTTTGTCTTCATTTGCTAGAACCAGGTCTTCCACTTACAACACATAATAATAATCTTTTGAATTAAACCCTGCTGCTTTACATTCAGAGTCTAACCTTAAGCATTCGCTAAAAGCCTAAAACCATTCCATAAACAAAATTCACATATCCTAATTATCCACAGTACCAAATCCTGATTATCCCAAGTATAATCATATGTAATTTACAACAAATTCACTAAACATCGTTGTTCTAAGTACCAGCAAAAGCACCACATGAAACCCCACATTATCATTTGCATTGTTCAATTTCAACACTGACTACTTATGAATATTCACATGGCTCATAAGCAACCTCAATCGCTGAAGTGTATAAAAACCACAATACGTATTCTTCATAAACTAAGGCTCCACAATTATCTTCCCAGTGGCATGGCCAGCAATGCTCTTAGCCCAAGCATCTTCAGCCTTACTTAGGGGATGCTTTGAATCAATCACTGTCTTAAGCTTTCCCTCCTTCACCAACTTCACAAGATAATCAAGGTTCTCTTTCTTAGGTGTCGTTATCATTGGTACCAGCTGCTTCTTGGAGAAGGTAAGCTTTTTCAAAGCAAAAGTCATTAAAGCACTAGGGCCAGGAGTAATATCTATTACCTTCCCATTTGTACTCAAATTAGGCTCAAAGGTAGACCAAGGAATGCCCATTGCACAGTGGATCACTGCATCATATTTGCGACCAGAAGGGCTCTTCAGAGCTGCCCCATCAGGAGTGTTGTAGTCAAGAACTTCATCAGCCCCCAGGCTCTTGACAAGATCCATGTTACGAGCCCCACAAGTGGCTGTCACATGTGTGTTTCCAAGCTTTGCCAGTTGAACTGCATACTGACCTACGCCACCCGAAGCAGCAGTAATCAGGAGATTTACTTGCTGGCTGCTTCCGTCAAGCTTGATCCCAGCAGACTGGGTGAGTGCCTGGTGAGCTGTGAGGCCAGCAAGAGGCAAAGCTGCACCTTCAGCAGCTGATACTTCTGGAGGCCTTGCAACTGTCAAACTCTCCTTAGCCACAGCTAATTCAGCTAGTCCACCTCCAGTCTGTCATTGCAAAAATATATTCATAATAGATAATGGCCATAGCAAATGACATTAATGATGCTGAGTTGCCGATAATACAACCAGAAGATGAAATCACCATACCAGTGGCCCACATTAATAATATCTAGGTCTTCTCACAGCCAAATGCCTCACAAAGTGTTTGGACAATCACTTCCTCAGAAATGATAGTCACATAGACAAAAGTTGCATTCAAAACATGATACAGCTCAATATGAAAATTGAGAAGGTGCAAAAATTATCTGGGGCTGGGGATTTTCCATAACTTGAATCAACAAATAGGCCAGTGGAATGTCAAACATACATATGTTTCCAGAGAAAGGCTTACCATTGAAAAAGTTAATCTTTCTATCTACAAGAAAAAGCAACCTACAATCAGACATATAACAGCATTTCAAATTCCAGGGTGACAAGACACAAAGGTTTCATTTACTTTGATTCATCCAAACAGGCAAGCAGAGCAATGCTCAGCAGATGTCATGACTAGAGATAACCAAGGCCACTCATTGGAAGATTGACATGGTCATCTGAAGAGAAAAAGCTAGCACTGATCCTTGAAAATACTTTATAAGGGTCTATGAAATAATAATTTTCTTCCATTGTTGGATTCTAAAGACAACAATTCTGAAGTGGATACTTTGGCTGTAAGAAGTCCTTTTCTTCCAAGAATTGTTGGGGTTGCACTCAAGTCCGGTTGCACTAAAGTCATACCAAACTTCAGCACCTGATTAATTGACTGAGCTAATACCCAAAGACACAAATGCCATCAATTTTCCAAATTTATCTACTATGCTAGTACATTGCTAGTACTTCTTCCACTCTTCATGAGAAATATCCTTTTCTTATTATTCTCAGAATGATTGATGACACACTACCCTACAACTTGTGTCCAAAAACAGCCAGTCATTCAGATTATTACAATATGATAGTGCCTCCTCAGTGACGAGTCTGCTAGACTGGACTTCTAAACTGATTAAAAATTTGGACAAGATTAAAACCAGAAGAATAAGAATGACAACTTACAGCATGGCTAAACAAAGCCACAACTTTATCCCCAGCATTGTAATTCTTGACTTTGGGTCCAACCTTTATCACTTCTCCAGCTACATCAGTACCTGCTCCACCAAAAGTTCTTTAGCCAATGGTTGAAGAAAGGCAATCAAAAGATTAGAATAAAGAAAAGTGCAATACTTCGCAGAGATCAGTGAACAAGGAAACTGTTGATTCAAAGTTGGATACTTTTAATGTGAATTGCAATCGATATACGATAGTGAGTCACATTTACTTTTGAGAAATAAAGTCTTTACATATAGAAAAGACTAATTCCATAACAATGGGACCCCATATATTACCATAAGTTTCCCACAAGTGGTTGAATTAAGAGATCTTTTGACCAGCAATTTACTTTTGCTGGTTAATAAATACACAGATATCCCTTAGTGAACAAATAGACACATGTTTCCTACTAACAACAGCCACTAAAGCACAATCCATAAATGTATTGATGCAGATTAAATTACCATGTCTAATCATCCAGACAATATTAAACAAGTCATTATTCAGAATGCACTGCTGGGGAGTTTGACATAGTAAGAAAACCCACTTGCAAGCCAGATGTAAGTTTAAGAGTAAGCTGTTAATGTCAAATAAATACAAATATCACTCGCAAATTAAAAGAAAGAGTCTCAAGAAGATTACAACTTTGAAATGGCCACAAGAAAAAAGTAAACTACCAGGTATATAGGGGAATTTGCGAGGTAAAAAAGGCCGCAGTACTCCTTTCTGCAGTTTCCAGTCAAATGGATTGAGACTAGTTGCCTCCAGTTTTAGCAGAACTTCGTCTTGTTTAGGAGTGGGAATCGGAACCTCAACATGCTGCAACATGCATAAAAACTCGCAGCTGTTATGACATCAAGTCTCTCAGGCAGTTTTTTAAAGTTTACAAAAGCAGGAAAATGCTGGAAGCACATTTGCAAAAAAGATGTTACCACGTTGCTGTCAACGTCTCAGACCCTTTCTTAGATTCCTTAGAGCAAATCCTGAACTTAACCATTCACTTCTTTCCGTTCTAGAAATTCCAGTTTCCTAATGCCTACCCTCTCCTGAAGCTGTCAATCAAAATTTATTTCGATGACAAGGTTTTAAAACCCTTCTTCCCCCTTCCTTTGATCAATCAAGCACTAGACTACCAACCTGAATTGAAATGTCCATTTAAAAAAAAAAATGAACTGCGTATAGACCCCCCTTCTCATATAACACCACCATATATTTTTTCCAAATAAAACTTTATATTTTAATTCTGTTCTCATAAGGGTATCAAATTTTCACTAAAAAGATATTAAAATCCTTTTAATTTTCACTAAAAAAGACAATAAAACTTTATATTTAAAAACCTTGTTTTTTATATTTGAATCTTAAATTCGTAATTTTAATGTTTTATGTTTTATGATGGGGAATGGGTGGAGTTACCTTATAGAGGCCAATCAGGGTGTTGCAGATGTTCTGGGATAAGAAGATTGTTTAAAGCAGAAGAAGGGTTTTTCAAGCAAGTTTATGTTCATCTATGGGGTATGGTCACAGCAAAACTTGAATGTTTGAGTATTAACGACTTCCCTCCATGAGGAATAGCAAGTTAAAAAGAATATTGTGGAGGGATCAGCCTTAAATTAAAGAGGGTTCTAACTAAGGGGGTTCTGAAACTTGTTCCGACCTCCTCTTCATGTCTTTCGGGTGACCCTTATGAGCAGGGCTTGCTTACACTTGAGTTTAACGTCAAACTTGTTAATTTAAAATTAAGAATACTCTGTCGACACTCTAAGCATAAGTACGTAAATAAAATTTGCACCAAAATACAATTGACATTAAAAAAAAAATTCATTAAAATTGCAGAAAACTGCAAACATCATTTTCTTCGCATCACTTTTGTCAAGAAAGAGATTTCACTCACCTCAGAGCAAATCCGTAATTTTCCCCTTTTTTTTTTAA